GGGGGGGGGGCATCTAGACATAAACCACAACCGAAATAGTGCAGTCAGCTATTGTGAAAGCATGACCATGCAGGAGATTGAATCTACACCATATTTCTCACCATGTACTAAGTTAAAATCAAATGGGATCAGAGATTTAAATATTAAGGCAGAATCTCCTGGAAGATAAAATAGGTACAGTAAGATTTTTGCAGACATAAGGTGAGGCAAGGACTTTCTTGGAATAGAAGCATAGGTGCATAAGAAATGACATCAAAAGTCAACAAATGGAATTGTATCAAATTAAAAGGCTTCTGCATAGTAAAAGAGCCAGCAGAAGAGACAACCTACACAATGGGGTTGGCAGCTACTCTTCAGACAGAGGACTAATATCTAGAATATATAAAGAATTTGAAGGCTAGGCATAGCTGGGCATGGTGGTGCATGGCTGTAACCTTTGGGAAACTGAGGCAGAAGGATTGCTGCAAGTTCCAGACCAGCCTAGACTGCACAGTGAGTTCAAGGTCAGCCTGGACTACATAGCAAGACCCTGTTTCGGGGGGGGGGGGGAAGTAGGCATAGCAGTGCCTGCCTACAATTCCAGCCTTTGGGAGCTGAAGCAGGAGTAACATGTTTGAAGGCAACCTGGACAAACGTGTTCTCTTTTGAATGGATGGCACCCCTCTCATGCGGTAGGGGGCTGAGCTGCTTTTCCCATCCTTACTTGGCCTAAACTTGCTCTGCTGAGCCTGTTTCTTTCTCTACCTTTAATAAAACTGAAAGAAACAACCAAAAAATAAAAACAATGTCAATCTGAAATACATAGAAAGATCTTGCCTCAACCCTCCCCCCAAAATAAAGGGTAAACAAAAAAACTCAAAAAAACTAGAGCCTGCCCCAAAATAAAAGATCCAATCAAAAATGTGTGAATAAACATTTCTCATCAGCACAAATGGCCCAAAAGACATTCTTATAGAAGTTCAACATCACTCTCTAGTTGAATGCAAATTACAATTGGCACTGAAATCCCATATTATGGCACAAATAATGTCTATAATCAAAAAATGAAATAATAATGTTGTGGGAGTAGGGAAAATGAACTTCTCTACTGCTGGTGGGAGTGCAAACTAGAATAACCACTATTTGACCCAGATAGTCCCCTTCTAGGTAACTGACTGAAAGAGTTAAAGACATTATAATGTTACATACATCCCCATGTTTATAGCAGTACAACTTATAATAGCTAGATCTTTAAATCAACCTATACATCCATTAACTGAATGGATGTTTTTTAGTTACTTGTAGGTAAAAGGATGTACCTTGGGATCAAAAGCTTAAATAGTACATGGTTTCTCTTATATGTGAAACTCAAAGTAGAGCAAAATAAAAGATAAATAATAAACAGGGTGACACATCTTTTGCAAAAGGGAACATAAAAAGAACTAAGATATGTTACATACATGTACCAACTCCCTACTATGAATGTAATTATTAGTGCAAACATGTACTGATATTTTTTTTTTTTCACTGTTTCAGTCTATATAACAGCCTATCTCACAGTGGGGAGAGTGCTAGAATAGGTTAGACTTTCTTGCTGTAGCAAGCTCAAATTGTGCCAGACTGGGGCCAGGGAGATGGCTCAGTGGAATAAGCACTTTCCTGGCAAGTGCAAGGACCTGAGTTCAATCCCCGGTTCCGCAAAGAAAAAAAAAAAAAGTCTTAAAAAAAATTGTGCCAGACCGCTTTGGTACTGATATAAATTTTTAAAAAGCATTTAAAGTATGACCAAAAGAAATCTGGATAAAAATCAAATGCCCAGACTTGAGGAAATGGGATTTTATTTACCTTTTGTTTTTTTAGCACAGGTTTATTGCTATGTAGTTCAAGCTGGCCTTGAATTTGCAAAAATCCTCCTGCCTCAGCTTCCCAAGTGCTGGGATTACAGGCACATGCTACCACACTCAGATAAATGTTGGGATTTTATAGACCAAGAATCATGCAAGGCATAGAAACTTTTTTGCTCATTTGGTTCAGTGAGTAAAGTGATCTTGATGTTTGGTACCCGGGAGCTCAATGTTAAAAATACCCTAATGTAGGTAATTTAGGAAGGCAATTTTTGGATATGGGTTGGTTCCTTTCCCAGGCTGTCCATCTGAATGGGAGGCCAGATAATGTAAGCAGGTAAATAATGCTGAAAATAGAATTCTAAAGTGCAAGAACAGAGATTTTTCCACATGCAATGAAGTTTATCCATGTGTTGGATGAATGGTTTATGTGGTTTTTAACTAGAGAGCTCTATTTCTTCCTTGTTTTGACTTTTTCAGAGAGATGGGAGTGCACGAGTGGATCCTCTCATCTTTCCCAGTAACTTTCTGAGTTTGATAGGTACCAGGTGTCCTTTTCTTTGGGGCTCTGTTTCATAACTCCTTTGTTATCAAGACAAGATTATGAGTTCTCTCCCTTGCTTCCCTTTTGCTTAAGACTGGAAAAGGTGTTTGACTGTCCTAAGTTCTTTTTTTCACTGTGCTTCCACCATCAGTAGATTAAAGAACACAGTATAGGTAAATTGGGAGGATAAACTGGGAGTGGATTTGGATCTGGGCCAATCTCTTTCCCATATAAGTAGGCCCCTGGTTATACTTTACACAGCACCATAAAGTATCTTTATAGAAAAACTATGTAATTGCTCAGCCTCTTGTGTCTTGACTACAAACTTACTGAATGTGAAGATTGTCTTGGTCTTTGATGCCACCTGGGGTAGGCCTTATTTTCAAGGAAACACTGGTGCATAGTCCTTACAACATTGTCAGATACACAGTATGTCCTCAAAAAAATCGCTGCTGTAATAAATGAACTACATGAGTCTTCCACTTAAGAGGATTTATTGCTAACCACTATGGGGATATAAATAAATATGGGAAGGAAAAAAGTTCTGCAAATAAGAGGATTAGTTATATTAAATTATGCTCTTTCTCTGACTCCCTCTGAGCAAAGAAACATTAGACTGACAGCTCATACAAGCTGCTCTTCCACCTATACAGGTCCTCTTTGCTCCAAAGTCAACGCATCAGTTTGTAGATACTAATATGGGGAATAAAACTCCTGACCTGGAAGGTACCTCAGATGAGTTTGTGCTCTCTAAAACTAAAGAGTAAATTTTAGGAACAAATGGAGGTTAAGAACAAATATTTACGGTGGGGGGGGGAGTGTTAAAAGAAAGCTTCTATCTGAGAGGACAGAAGGGGGAGCTGAGCAGGCTGCCCTGGGAAGCTACCATTGCCAGGAATTTTTATAGAATAAAACCATGTGGTGAGGTGGGTCTAAGGTGGAGAACATGGGAACTCCGCTAGGTGGGCGTCAGGTGGGACAAAACTATGGTCGACTAATAAGGTTACAACACCATTGCTCAGGTAAAATTGATGGGGAAATGAGTCATATAGCAAGCAGGCATGAACATAATTCATCCAGTAGCAGTGGGATTAGTGATCTTCCTGGCTTAAGGTGATGATCAATCCCAGATGCTTATCTTTAGGGAGGTAAGCATTTGTTCTATCTTTGATCTTAGTCTCTCTCACAGTTGTGAGGTATCTTGCCTTCCGTGCTATCCCCTTTGAGGGCCTGGCCTTGATTACCTATAATATTTCTATCTAATTTAGCTGCCTCCAACAATACGACTTACCTGGAAGCAGGAAGGCAACCTGTTAAGTGCCCGCGGTTTCTTTGGTCTCCTTTCTGCTGCCCGTACATTTGGGCATTTCTCAGACACTGACTTTTTTTTTTTTTTCAAGAAAACAGTTTCATGGGTCAAATTGCTGGAGGTAAAAAGGTGTTAGCCCCCTAGTCAACTCTGTTTTTCCTAATGAGCTCACTGAAAAGTCTCTGGATCTCTGTTTCTCGTTTGAAATCAGCAAACCGTATTCCTTTTTTCTTTCTTTCTTTCTTTCTTTCTTTCTTTCTTTCTTTCTTTTTTTTTTTTTTTTTGCGGAACCAGGGATTGAACTCAGGCCCTTGTGCTTGCCAGGGAAGCACTGATTCTACTGAGCCATCTCCCCGGCCCCCCGTATTCCTAAAGCCTGTAGGTCCGTGAAGGAGGGTTCCTATCTTTTGCAAATACCTCCAGACCCTAAAACTACGCGAACACATACTAATGTAGAAGGAATACTCACGACTCTGCACCCCGCTTAGAGCTCCCTGGCAAGGACAGAGCCTTTGGGATTTAGGAATGTCAAACTTAAAACAATAAAGTTGTACAGTACCACCCATAGGTGGGTATATGTGCAAAATGTCAGTTCTCTCGAGGTACGTCTCATGTGGAAAGGCGTACCTCTCCAGACAACAAATCAAGGGTGCTCAGTAAGTGCTGCGTGCCCTCTCTAGCCTACCGGGCAAGCGGGCCAGGAGAGCTCGTACCAGGCGGGGCTCGGCGCTCTCACCGGCGGCTCCAGCTTTCCTTCACTTCCGGCCTCCAGGGCCCCCCCCGGGCCCACCGGCGCGGGCGCGGCGTCTGGCCGGAAGGGGAGGGCCGCGGGAAGGCCGTACTTCCTGTGCGTCACCAGGAGGCGAGGGAGCCCATTGGGTAGCGTCACCGAAGCGCGCGTCGACAGCCGAGCGCTCGTGGCCGCGCATGCGCAGCAGGCTGTCTTCGCCCACCCGCAGCCGCGTAGGCCGAGGGCTCTCCAGTGTAGTGGCTTGCTGTTTGGATCTAGCCTCCTTCCCCACAACCGGCCGGAAACCGGAAGGAGTTCTGGGCCCGCGAACCTGCAGCGGAAGTGGAAACGGTGAGCGAGGGAGGGAGAGCCCTGCCTTCTGTAGCAAGTCGCTGTCGCCTTAGATGTGAGGTGTGTGTTGGAGGGATCCCTTCTTCCCCTGTGCTTGGGGATCTGCTATACGGGGAAGGCGGGATCCGAGTAGATGAACCCCCCTGCCGATTTAGCTGGTTTGTTTTTATGTCTTGGGGTGAGATAATTGTTAGTTCAGTGTATGTTAATCTAATCAGGTTGCTGTTACAGCTGTTCTTCAAGGGAAGAGAAGGGGAACTTGGCAGTGAAAAGAATTAATTTGGCATTTAGTGGTCTGCCCCAGAAGGTTTTGGGTCAAATGCAGTAAATTTTGCTAAACCGCTGTACCTTTTTCTCTGCTCTACTCTTTTAAAGGTTTGAATAAGACTTTGAATTACAGTTTTTGAAACTTGTAAAATTTAGAAGCCAGAGATTAGATAAATCTTATCTGTAAATCCAGACGGACACGAATTTGGGACCAAGGGAGACTAAATTAACTAGAGAAATCAAGCAGTGCTGGTGGACCCATCTTGTCTGTCCTGTGTTAGCCTTCCAAATTGGATGGACACAGTAACCTATAGGAAATACAATACCTAATGGAAGGCTGTTGGTAGGTTACCTGCTGTGACACTGGCTGGTATTAATTCCCTGCTACGCACCTTGTTTCTAGGCTGAAGTGTCTGGAGCTGAGATGTGACCAGGGGAAAAGAACTATGGCTAGCTAAGGAGGCCATGCTTGAAGTTGCTTCCAGATCTCATGTCACCACCAAGCCCGCAGCTGCTGGTGGCAGCTGCTCAGCAGACCCTGGGCATGGGAAAGAGAAAGAGTCCATCCAGAGCCCTCTGCCTTCACTTAGCCGGAGAGTTACTAGCTGTGGCCCGGGGCCTGAAGCCAGCTGTGCTCTATGATTACAACTGTGCAGGAGCCTTGGCGCTCCAGAGTTATCTGGAGGAACTGCAGAGGCTGGGTCTCCTCATCCCAGGACTTCACATTCTGGAGGTCGGAGAAGATTGTCTCATTGTCAGTCCTAAGCATGCATGTCAGCACTTGGAGCAGGTGCTGCTTGGCACTGCAGCATTGGTGGATGTTTCCACCTCCCAACCATACCCTTCCCTCTGTTCCCCTGACCAGCTTCAAGATGTGAAGGTTTTTGTGGCTGAGATCACCATGCATTTGCAGGAGCTGCAGAGGGACCTAACTCTAGGAGTCTCTCCTAGCAGGCTCCATTCCTCAGACTGGAATCTCTGCACTGTATTTGGGCTCCTTCTAGGCTATCCTGTCTCATATACCTTTCACCTGAACCAGGGAAATGATAACTGCTTGGCCCTAACCCCACTACGGGTATTCACTGCCCACATCTCCTGGCTTCCAGGTCAGCCCCCAGTTTTGTTGTATTCTTTTAGTATTCCGGAGAGCTTGTTCCCAGCTTTGAGGCATGTTCTAAATGCTTGGGAGAAGGAACTCAGAACACGATTCAGGACTCAGGATGACTTTGCTGACCTCAGTATCACCTCTGAAATAGTCACACTGCCAGCGGTGGCCCTCTGACTTTAACTGTCTTGTATAAAAGGTATCCTTTAAATAACCATCTCTGTATTAAGGATGTCAGCTAGGAATCATTTCAAGTAACTGAGTTGTCTAAATGTTTAGAGAACTCTAGGAAAGAATGCTGTAATCTATCTGCCAAACATGAGAATGGCAGTAGGCGGTTGTGGTGGTGGTAGCACTGGTAATGCGCATTTGGCATTCCTATATTTGGGAGTTCTCTGTAAGTTGAGATGTCTATTTGTTTTTCATTGGATAAGAAATAGGAGACAGGAGACAAGGGGGAAAGGATTGCAAAGGACAAATAGCCCTTCTGTCTTGCCCTGTGGTGATAGTATCTTCTAGGAAAGGAGCAGGACTGCGTGTTTCTGCCTGTCTGTGTATGTACTTCTAAGTGGGACTGAGTAGATCAGCATGCTTAAGTGTCACACTTTGGAGATGGTAATGTTGCTCAGGAATAAATCAACACCTCCAAGGTACAGTTACATGAGGTGAAATTTATTTACAATACCTTAAAAAAGAAGTCCAAAGTCTTGAGTTTACTTAGAGAGCCCGAGCTGTGAAGTACCCAAACCTGAGTTTTCTGTTAAACTGCTTGCTTTTGATTTTTGTTCCAGGCAGCTTTCACAGGTTTTTCAGATCATGCTGTCTTTGTTGGCCAGAAATACTGCCAGTGCTGTAGCAATCACCACCATCAGCATCGGGAGCCATCGGCCACATTGCCTCTATGTGGAAGAAGAGGGAGACCAGAGAAAGCAACTATGAGTTGCAGAAAAAATGGGAACAAGTAATCTTATTGTAGCCCAGTGGAAAGCCTCAGTGGCAGCAAAGAAGCTGTTTTTTACTTTTGTACTGATTTCTGTCAGCTACCTTGAGATAAAACCAATTTACTAGTGGTTGCTAGCCCAGGGAGCATACATAGGGACCAGGCATTTAAATGCTGAAGGGAGTAATGAAGGGTAGAAAAGAAATCAGCACAATTTTATTCTGTGGCTAGATGCCTCAATGCTTGTGCTGTCCTCCCTCATGTTTGTCATGTTCAAAAGAATCACTGTTGAACTAGTACAGGTTGAGTATTGTATATCTGAATTGCTTGGGACTAGGAGTGTTTTAGGTTGTGGAGTTTCTCAATTTTGTAATATTTAACATATACTGTGAAACCAGAAATGCTTCAGAAAGGTTTTTTTTTTTTTTTTTTTTGAGACAGGGTCTCACTGTGATCTGCCTATCTGCCTCAGCCTTCCAAGTATTGGGATTATAGGCATGGGCTACCCCACCTGGCTGCTCCAGAATTCATGTAGAGCTCAAAAAATTTCAGATTCAGAGCATTTTAGATGAAGAATGTTCAGGTTAGGTTTATTCAGCATGTCATAAAGACTTTCTCTGAGTGCATGAGTTCCATGAGAACTATGCTTGGATGTGTCGACTAGTGTCTTCCTTCATGGTTTCATGTCAGCATAGTATAAAGCAAATGGTGTGGGATAGGATGGTCAGATGTATCCCAAAGGGCTGATAGATTTTATCTGCAAGGTTTGGCCAGAAAAGGAATTGTCCTCCCAGCATCTAGCGCTGTTCAGGAAGATGGACCCTCTTACTCTGGGTGGCAGTTGCAGGCTGTGCTTCAGCTCTTCTCGACAGTGCTGTAGCTTATGCAGGCAGGAGAGGTACTCGTCACTGAGGTTGTCTAACTCTGAATGCAGCTCTGTGCACTGGGGGGAAGATCACCAAGGTCAGCATCACCACTTCTGTCCAGGATGGAGCCCAGAAAGGGAGCCTGCCCTGAGTAAGATGCTTCTTCCTTCACTGAGCCTTTGTCCTCTCCCACCCTTTTTCAGATTTCAGTTTGTCTTTCTGCCCTCCTAGTTTGTCTGGAGTGTGTCTCCTGAAGTGATTATGTTGCATTTTATACATGTAAATGTTTTTATGGCTCAGTATATGTGAGGATGCTTTTTAAACGTGGATACCAAAATGAAGTTGTAGCATGAAAAACCTGGAAATGATTTTAATACATCTGTTCTGGGAACTGGTTTCTAAATGCTTGCAAGGATGGGAGAAGCTAGGGAAGATTTTGCTATTTAGGATACAACATATAAAGCTTCCAGGGCCGGGGAGATGGCCCAGTGGAATAAACACTTCCCTGGCAAGCGCAAGGACCTGAGTTCAATCCCCGGTTCCACCAAAAAAAAAAAAAAAAAAAGCTTCCAGAGATACTCAATGTAGGACAAACTTTGCCGAGTGCAGAGTTAATTATCAAATGTGTTTGGGCTGAGGTTTACTTTCTAAAAGGTAACTAATAAAATCTTGAATCAGGCTTGGATAAGGAAGGCAGGGAGGGCACATGAATACTGTCTGTATCTAATCACAGGTTAAGCCGAAGTCCCAGTTCTCCAGCAGTTTCCCCTGTCCTTTTTTTTGCGGAACCAGTGATTGAACTCAGGCCCCAGTGATTGAACTCAGGCCCTTGCGCTTGCCAGGGAAGTGCTTATTCCACTGAGCCTTCTCCCCAGCCCTCCCCCCTTCTTAGGGATGAGCCCCTTAGCCATAGGGGCTGTCTCACCTCCTGTTCCTTGGCCTGGAGCTGCAAAGTCTTCTTTTGCAGCTCTTCTCTGAGATTCAAGTCCTTGTCCTTCCCTGTACCCTCAGGCTCCACTTCCTGGGAACGCTTTGGAGTCCACACAGGCAAGGCCTGATCTAAAAAAGCAGTGATGGTGAGGCCCAGGCTGCTGAGTAAAGGCACCCTGTCTGTGAAAATGGGGTGAGGATAGGGCCTGCCCTAGACAAATTGAGTGGGGAATTCTATCGCTTAAAAGAACTTTTGTTGGAACCCCAAGCTGGAGTTTGACCTCCTTGAGTGCAGGATTGACTCCTTCACTTTCCTTGTGTGTCCCCAGACTACCTAATAAATGACTGCTTACTAATTGCATTTCTTTGGTTGTATGTCTTATATTTCATATTGTGAGGGGGCTGGGGAGATAGCTCAGTAGAATAAGCACTTGCCTAGCAAGTGCAAGGGCCTGAGTTCAATCCCCGGTTCTGCAAAAAAATAAATAAAACTTTGTGAGGGTAGGTTTGCTGAATGTTTCATTATAATTTTATCATATCCTTTCAAAGTCATGAAAATGACATTCAGATCCTAAAATTTATTATATGTGATTAAAGATGGTTTTTAAATCCATTTTGCAGTCTTAGTCTTAAGGGTAGAAAGAGCACAGGACTACGAATCAGGATGCTGGATTTTCATCTTAGCTCTGTCTTTATGCTCAGGGAATTTGTTACGATCAGGGAACTCTGATTTCTGTCTTCTCTCATGTACTATATCCAGTGATTGTGAGGAGAAAACAAGAGGCTATCCTGGGTGTTCTGAGTCTTACAGTTGTGGCAGAGATACTCAAAAATGTCTATCTATACACTTGTAACACCCTGTTTCTTTACATAGGTTAATGGACTAAAATATGCCTTTAGTTTTATATGTTTCTAAAATAAACATTTCTAAAATTAAAAAACAGAAAAGAAAACCAAGAAGCTATGTGTTACCGATCATTGAGTTGTTGCCCCCTCTGTATGTGTAGGAATTCTCAGGAAATTTGGGCAGCAGATTACTTTAGGGCTAACGTGAGATTGACTTCTGCATACTTAGGGGCTTGGGGCTTGGGAGTAGGATGTGGTTTGAAAAATCAAGTGTGTAAAAACACATGAAATCCTGAGTTCAAAATCAATTTATTGAAATGTTCAACATAAACATGTTTTCAGAGAAAGTAGAAATCCTTTTTCACAGTTTGTGTACCTCGTAGGACAGAGGGCTGACTAATGAGGTGTCCCCAGGACCAGTGATCATTTCATGAGACTTCCCTACATCCCTAACTTGACAGACTCAGACTCAGATCCAAGAGGTCATGTAGTCCACCCTCCTTCCTCTAGGTGGGCAAGCAAAAAGCAATAGCTTAGGATTTGCGGTAGTAAATTTGCTGACCTTTCTTTAAGAGCTTCTCCTGTTCTTGAAGCTGTAAGGATTGATTCTGAAGCAGACCTGTTGGGAAACACAAGGAACTTGTCTGTGCTAGCATATGTACTGCAGAGAACCTCTTCAGACCTTTGCTTAGAACCTTAAAGATAATTTCCATCTGTCACAGATTGAAATTCCTCCCTCCAAATTTATATATTGAAGTCCTAACTGCTCACAACTCAGTATGACTTCTTTTGAGATAGTCTTTATAGAAGTAATCAAGTAAAAGTAAGGTCATTATGGTGACCTTACTAAATAACTGGTGTCCTAGGAGAAGGGAAAATTTAAAACCAGGTATTCTCTGGAGAACGAGGAAGTGAAGAAGATGGTCTTCTGCAGAGCCAAAGGAGGAGGCCTGAAATAGATGCTTCTTTCAAAGCCCTCAGAAGAAACTGACCTTGCCCACAGCTTGATTTGGGACTTTGACTGAAGAACTGTGAGACAGTATATTCCTGGTCTTCAGGTCACCTATATGTGGTACTGCTGCAAATACATTATTCTTATATCTCTTCCTGTGTCTTTGCTTTCAAATCTGTGCTTAAAGGTTACCCTAAGAAAAGCTTGCTGGGCTTGGTTGTGCATACCTGTAATCCCAGCACTGGGGAGGCTGAGGCAGCAGGAGAGCCTGGAGTTTGAGGCCTCTCTGGGCTGCTATTGAGTTCAAGGCCATCCTAAGTTATGTAATGAGGCCCTGTCTCAAATACAAAACCCTCCCCGCAAGAAAGGAAAAGCTCCCAGATGACTCTGCAAAATAACATTTTCCCTCTGGCCTGCTTTTATTGCTCCGTAGCGCTTACTATGACTTGATCCCCCGGCCCCCATAAAAGTCCTGTTCTAGTCTAAAGACCTTACTCGGAATGCCAGCTTTACAAAGGAAGGAATTACTGGTTTTGTCATATCCGCAGAGTAAATTCCAGGGTGCCTGAGGCTAGGACCTAATAAGTGCTTATTCTAGTGAGAAAGTGAAAATGGTCTAAGGGACATACTCATATATACAGTAAATTAGAATACAGAGGAAAAGAAGCATCGCACAGCACTAGTGCTTTATAAAACTTGCAATTCTTATGGACATGGAAGTGACTTACTGACACGGAAGGAGAAAAATAGCAAACGACCAAAGGCTAACAGAATAATTCATGAAACATTGTGTAATGAGTCCAGTTTACAAGAAGTGTATCTGAAAAGGCATGGAAGTGGGAGGACGGACCAGAGCACAGGCCCCTGTCCTTCCCCTGGGAGGAGCTTCAGCAACACAGGAGCCCTGGCTGCTACCCTGAGAATCTGGGAAGGAAACTTACTCTGCAGCTGCTGTACTCTGGCCACCAGGGCAAGTTTCTCTTCCTCCGACCTCTTTAGTTGATCTGAAAAATGAAACAGTGCAAACCAAAAATAGAAGAACTCAGCACCTGAGGATGGAAATTCTGCTTTTTACGGACATCCCAGTTTTATAGTGGTAGACTAGCACCCAGGTCACCTTTCTATCAGTGAGAGTTCTGTGTCAAAGTGTTGGCTTGAATTAAGGGCTGTATTTGCACATTATGTAGTCTTTCAGCTATTATAGGCTGTGGCTGAGATACCTTCATGCAGCCTTGGATTTGATCTGATCTTTCCCTTTCAAATTAGGAATGTAGTCTTGACACATGTGACTAATCTGGGAGCAGCTGTGATCTGGCCCAGAGGGATGGGCTTAGGGAGAAGAGAGCTCACACAACAAGATCCTCTAGTTCAGCAGAACTTAATTTTCATCTTGGCTGATTAAAATAGCCCTTCCTTTCCCTCCAGGTAAGATGAAATCTTAAGGCCCAGCTAACAAAGGAAGGCCAGGGCCCTTTCTCCACCCAGCCCCCTCGGAGCTCCCTTAGCCACGGTGCCATGCTCCGAGATCTTCAGGCAGGGTACCTTGCAGGTCCTGGGAGTCGGAGGCGCACAGGTCTTGCTCTCCTTGCAGGCGTTCAGTCTTGGCCCGCAACTCCCGATGCTCGTGCTCCAGACGTCGCAGGGCCTGGTTCATCTGTGTGTTTTTACTGTCCGCTCCCTGCAAGGAGGTAGAGGGCCCTGATCAATGCTAGGGGAGGCAGGAGCAGGTTCCCCAGAAGGGGAGAATTACAGGAAATTGTACAATTTCAGAGCTAAGAGTGTCAGAGAATTTTGTTTTCCATTCTCTTCGCTCTGTTCCTTACATTTTAAACTGTACATTAGAGTTTTGGTATTCACAGGGATCATGCTGTGACACCATGATGTAAATCCCCAGATGAAAGCATATCGGATCAAAATTTACCTAGAAGTCTTGGTTTTCTCTTTACTTTTCATTCTACCACTGACAATTTGTGTGTGTGTGTGTGTGTGTGTGTGTGTGTGTGTAGGGGTATTTTACATAAAGAAAAGGTCTACAGAAGAAACCCCATCTATGTTCCCAATAGTTGCATTACACTGTATAATCTGCAAATACAGCCCTTAATTCAAGCTGACACTTGGTGCAAAACCCTTACTGATAAAAAGGTGACCTGGGTGCTAGTCTACCACTGTAGAGCCCAGAGGAGGAGTGAGGGCTCGTCCTTTGCGAAGCCACATGCCCTCTCCTACCAGTGGGCTGTTCTGATCCCTGTTTCAGGGAAATCATGAAGATCAGCTTTGGGGGCGGATCTTCAGAGTTCAAGCCAAGTGAGTAAAATCTGTGCACTGTAGTAGCTAATATACATTGAATGTGTGATGTGCCAGGCATTGTGCTTAGTGCTACTGTATTTGATCCATATAACAGTCCTATGATACAGGTACTATTACTCTCATTTTAATTATTTAGTATAGGATCTCACTGTACAGATTGGACTCATAGTGAACCTCCTGTTTTCAGCCTCTCAAGTGCTGGGATTACAGGTGCGCATTACCATGCCCAGTCTCCATTGCAGTCTCAGTGCACTCCAGGGGCAGGGCCGGCAGGGCACACTGGGGAGTGGATCAAATCCCAGTCCCTTTGTCTGCCTAAGCAGGTGCTTTAATTTGCTGAGCTATCTGGCCGGCCCTTTATTCTCATTTTAGAGATACGGAAACTGAAACCTTGGAGGTTAGTTAATTTTTCCAGGGTAGCAAATTAGAAATGATGGAACTTTTGAAAATGTCTGGAGTCTACTGTAATTGCTTTTTAAAAAAAACACATAGTATTAGTTTCCACTCATATAAATAAGTTATGGATATTTCTTTCTGTGCAAGGGGGGAGTTCTGGACTAGGTGCTGTATTGGGATGGTTTCAGATAGTAGGTTGGAGTATGATGTTAGTGCCTTGATAAATATTTGAGCTCAATCCTTGCCTTTGGATTGGGTCATTCCAGTGAACACTTAGTTCATTTGCATGAGCAGCAGTTGCCTGTGTAAACTCAGAACTGAATTTCAGACCCAGGACAATGATTCTGGTGCAAAGTAGGCCTGAGTAAGGAACTGAAAGCTGGGCGTTCTCTGCTGCCTTTGGAGCCTGCAGCCCAAGAGAAGCTTTTTCTCAACCAGCACCCCTCTGCCCCATCCTCCTCCTCCCCCAGCTCCCATTCTGGGTACCTGGAGTTTGCACTGAAGCACGTGGAGTTGGCTCTCCAGCTCTCTGTGCTGTGCCCCTAGGTTCTTCCACTTCTCTTTGAGAGCCTCGTACTGGTTCCTCCACTCTTCACACTTCTGCTCTGCCAGGGCCAGGGACCGCTGAGGGAGATCAGAGAGGAGGGGTTCCCGTGGAAGCATCCCCCACCAAGGCAGAGGCTCGGAGGTAGGGTCACACGTGCACATTGTAGGCCCTCATTTGTTTATATTAAAACAAATGCTAGATGGATTTGATGAGGAACAGTTTCCTGGGAGCTGTGCCTTGTTTCCAGATCATCAGACCCAAACTGTGCCCCGTTCCCACCTGTGTGCTCTGCAGTTGCTGCTCTGCGCCTATTTTCTCCTCTAGCACTTTCTGCAAGGATTCCTTGGCCTTCTGCTCATAGCTGTTTTTCTGGTCTTCCATCTCCAGCAGCACCTTTTTCATTCCCCAAGGGGAGTATTTCTGCAAATTTGATGCAATTGAACCAATACACATTGAGCTTCCGGATGCCAAACACTAGGCTGGTACACAGATAAAGAGCATCTGGGTTTGCTTTCAGGGCAGAGGCACTGAAGTGTGGTGGGCCTTTTCCTGCAGCCTAGAGCTGAGCTCGATCCCTCCAGCTGTGAGGAGTGAGCGCCGTGGGACTGCTTTGCATTGTGCCAAAGGCTGCTGAAGGCTTTTCAAATCCAACCTGCCCCAACAGAGCTCACCTGCCTAGACCTCCTTCTACCTCAGTGATGAGGGTACTCACCAAGTCCTTCAATTTCTCTGCCTTTCTTACAGTATCTCATCACTGGACCTGGTCAGCATCCTGAACAGCTCATGTCTATCTCCTCTGTGTCGTTTCTGCTGCTTCCTGAATTCAGACTGATTCTTCTGTTGACTGGGTTAATGTAATAGCCTTCCTACCTCTCAGTCAAAGGGCACTTGCTAATTTACAGTGGCACCTGATAGTGCCACTTCTGTGTGAATCTCTCTGTGCCCTAAGGATCAGGTCCAGATTCCTTGAGACCACTGCATATAACCCAGACTTCCTACTGTGCTGCCTCTGCCAAGGCTGAAATATTTTGCAAATCCCCTGAGCATGTTTTTTTTTTTTTTTTGGATCTCCCTATGTAGTTCAGGCTGGGCTTGAACTCTGTGTAACCCAGACTAGCCTTGAACTTGCAGCAATCCTCCTGTCTCAGCCTCCCAAATGCTATGATTACAGGTGTATGCCACCATTCCTGGCTCCAGTTCTGGTAAATTTTGAGTATTCCAATTTCCCAACTCTTTATGAGTTAGAGAGATTCCTTCCCCCACTTCTCCTCCTTCTCTTTGTGGTGCTGGCTACATCCCTATATCCCTAGCTTCCTGGCCTTTATTTTTAAAAACATTTTCTATTTTGAGATGGGTCTTGCTAGGTTTTTTAAGCTGCCTAGTCTGGACTTGAATTCATCCTCCTGGCCAAGCCTCCTGGAGTGCTGGGATTGTAAGTATGCACCACCATACCCTGCTTGCTTTTTTTGTTTTTTGGAAATACTTGGGATTAAACCCAGGAACTCTCTACCACTGGTTACTGCCCCATACACCCTTTTCAGACAGTGTCTCATTAATTTACCATCTTCCTGCCTCAACCTCTAAGTAGCTGGGATAACCATCATGAGCTGCTAGTAGGTAGCTTTGCTTAGTGTTCACAGTGTCTGCATGCTTTCATTGTTCTATGGTGTCACTTTACCACTCATTCTTATGGTACTATAAATTCCCTCGGAGCAGGGAGCATGCTACTGCTTTTATTTATTTTTTTATTTATTAAGGTTAAAAGATTGTTTTATTTTTTAAATTTTTTTCCATAATTTTATTGAGAAACAAATAGCAATGAGACAGTTTCAAACCAAATTGGTAGGACAATTTCAATAATTAACACATTGCATACATTCTTCCTAGTGGTTAATTGCTGTACAACATGTGGACATGATATTCTATTTACAAACAACATTAGAACAAATCCCTCTATTCATTAAGAGAATGTAATTATATATCTATCCTAACCACTTTGAGTACACAGATACAAAATGGACATTCATCTGTATCTCCTTTTTTTGTTAAGTTCCATTATTTGAATATTATAGGTGTGTAAACTCAGCAAAATATTCTAAAAGAGTCCAGTAGCCCATAATAGTATTGGGTCTTCTGCTTCACTGGCAATGTCAGAAATTGTTGACTTGAGTCCCCTACAGCTCAACGTAACAGCATGGCTTTACTTCTTATATTTCATTTTTATACTTTTCTGCTAGATGGTGAAGACCAAGATAAAGCAAGAACTATGCAACAAGAGTTGTAGTTTTTGGGTCTGATAAGGACTACTGCTTTTAAAAAAAAAATCTGCGTGGATCTGAGGAATTCTTATTAAACTCAATGTAAAACATTTGAAAGAAATTAATACATTCAAGAATGATTTTTCTAATGGTGTTTGTAAATAGGATCTCAAGTCCGCATCTTATACAGCAGTTAACCACTAAGAAGAATATATGCAGTGTGTTAGTTATTGAAACTGCCCTAGCAATTTGATTTGAAACTGTCTCATTGCTATTTGTTTATCAATAAAATTATGGAAAAAAAAATTAATACATTCACTGCTGACTTCAAGTTCAGGAGAAACGGCAGAACAGATGTGTAGGTTCACTGGGATCTGCCCTCCCGTTACTTTCCTCCGTGCCCTATGATTTTGGAGAAGGAAAATGGCTCTTACAGTCGATTCTAGATTAGCCCCCGGTAAGCAGATCTGATAATGAAAATTTAGGGGATCTATCTAAATGACTTCCATTTAGCTTTGGAGTTGTCTGAAAATGTGGGTTTATACATGAATGGACATTAAGTTTTTATAAACTAGATCCAGGGGTGATTGGTTGTGATTTTACATGGGCATGGCAGTTACTGGATTGCTTTTGGTTTGTCTGGATTTTAGATAAGGTCTTGCTCTGTGTTTCAGGCAGGTCTTGACTTCACTGCCAGTGCTACTGGCCTGGAACTTGTGATCCTTCTGTCTCAGCTTCCTTGTGTGTGTGTGTGTGTGTGTGTGTGTGTGTGTGTGTGTGTGTGGCCAGGTTAGCCTGCCCTGGGGGCTGGTGTGGCATGTGGTGCTGGGGATCAAACCGCAGTCCCTGCTTGCCTAAGCTTGCCTAAGCAGGCACTTTAGACTGCTGAGCTATCTCACCAACCCTTAGCCTCCCAATTGTTGGGATTCCAGGTGTGTGCCACCACACTTGGCTCAGTTATTGTATTTAGCATTACTACTCTCTGGCCAGCTCTATCCTCTCCTGAAAATGAACAGACTGGCATTCTGGGTTACATGTGAATCTCATACAAATGTGGTTGGAGGGGCTGGTGAGATGGCTCAGTGGTCTAAGGCACCTACTTAGAACAAGCTTAGCTAAAGCACAGAGACCACGGTTCAATCCCCCAGCACCACATGCCAGCCAGCCCCGCCCCCTGGTGGGTTGAGCTGGCCACACACACATAAATAAATAAAAAATTAAAACAAAACAAAACAAAACAAAAAAAAAGCCAAATGTGGTTGGATTATTCAGTTCATAAAAACCTAACAAAATAGATCATATTGAAAAAATATAATATATAGGCTGAAAAAATTATAGGCTGTATAAACTTTTTCCACAAGATCCCAACTGTTATTCCAAGTAAGAGAGACCTGTCTACCCCTCCCTCCACCTTCCTTTTTGAGACATGGTCTTGCTGTGTCATGTAGGCTGGCCTCAAACTCCCCCACACAGTGATCACAGCTGAGTCCTTGCACCTCTCTCCCTACTTGGCAGGAATCTGTCACTTCTCAAACTCTGAACA